TCTCACAGAAAGCTGTAATCATCATATTGACATGCTGGGTGAAGTAAGACAAACAACTGCACTGCTTCCTTCAATCACTGTTCATTAGTTGGAGCACTTTGAGGATTGGAGCAGAGAGGACTTTTGGGTTGAGGCCAGACTTCCAGGTTAGAATCTGCTGATGGGAGCAGCAGGCTGCGCTCCAACGGATGGACAAAGACAGACAGCTTTAAATGAAGAAATGTGTGAGCTCAGGAAGTGCTGAGAGCAGAAGGCACCTCGTGGATCGCCAGTGAGGGAAACTAATGGAGATAGAAAGGAGTAGAAAAAAAAATCTAAATAACATTTTTTGTGTGAAGTGCCTACAAGGTAACCCTGAAAGTCTCCATTTGATCAAACTTTTCTTTTAATCTGTTTACGGTTTATTAGCTTTAACTTTAGCTCACTGTTGTTAAACTGGTATATTTCTGACTGGTATTTCTGGAGTCCACCCTCTCCCCCCGTCCACTTATCTGAGGCAGCCATGGCTAAAGTGGTTCAAAACTCCAGAAACCATCTTATCACCATCAAACTGGTTGGTCCACTATGTGAGTGTGCTGCTTATGGGACTGAGTTTGTTGTGGCTTCTCGGTCTGATGAAGTCCTTTGGATGAAAGATGAAACATTTTAACAACAACAAAAAAAGAAACCTTCCAGAGGACTTGACTTAACTTTGTTGGATTTTTTTTTACCTGGATTATTGGGGGAGTGGTGGTGCAGATGTTGGAGAAGGTGACCTGTGATTGGATGGTTGCTGGTTCAACTCCCTGGACCGACAACATCAAAATGTGGATGGAAAAAGTGAAACACCAACACCTGCCTCCACCCTCATTTGCACTCTGAGCCCATGAGCAAGGCCCTTAACCACCATCTGCTCGCCCGGGCACCCTTGATGGCAGCTCTGCTCCACACAGAGGGCTGTGGTAGCTCAGTGGTCTGTGGTTGTGTCAGGAAGGGCATTCGGCATAAAAACTATCGTCAAGTCTTGATGTGAGTTAGTTCACTGTGGTGATCCCTGAGGAAGGGAGCAGCCGAAAGAAGAAGAATTGAGCATGAACTTTGATGTTTTGAACCACTTTCTCTATGGCTGCCCCAGAGGAGTTGACAGGGGAGACGGCGGGCCTCAGAAACAATCTTATCACCACCAAACTAGTTGGCCCACTATGTGAGTGTGCTGCTTGTGGGACTGAGGTTGTTGTGGCTCCTCGGACTGAAGAAGTCCTTTGGATGAAAGACAAAAAATTTCAACAAAGAAAGAAATCGTCCAGAGGACCTGATTTAACTGTTGGATTTTTTCACCTGGATTACTGAGCATGAACTTTGAAACAAAAGCCAAAGTTTTAATCACTAAAGTGGGCTTTATCTCTGGTTTTGTTCTGTACAAGAGGTTAAAATATATTTTTCTCTGAACACTGATAATAAAACTGATATGTTACACTAAAATCAAATGAAACGAATATTAAGATTTGTGCTTATCCTTAGTTTTGGAGCCTTTTTGCTTTAAATCTTGACAGCATTTCACTTCTAGAAGACATGAAGATTTCTGTTCCAAGATAAATCAGCAGGTTTTGGATCAACAAAACGGCGAGTGTTGTCGATTTAAAAGGATCAAATCTAACCATCACAGCAGCTTTGGCTCTAAAACCAAACGTAATCACATTTTTCTCCCATCCTGTTAGTTGTGAAGTTTATTCATCGGCAATGAAGATAAATTTCAGGTGATGAGGAAAAATCTTTGCTTTCCAAAAACATTCTCAAAGTCAGTGACTTCAGAACAAATAATACTCACAGAAAGAGCTCAGATGGATCAGACCAGCTGTGAGGCACAGCGGTGGGATCATGAAGGTTTGGTGCTGCTTCACTTAAATTACCGTATTTTCCGCCCTATAAGTCGCAGTTTTTGTGCATAATTTACATGCCCTGCGACTTATAGGCCCAAGCAACATATTTATGGATTTTTCCACTTTGTTAGACAAATAAGGACTGATGTGACTTATAGGGCGGAGCGACAAGTACGCCGGAGAATACGGTATGTACTGTATTCACCTCAACACTCAGCGTCACATTGAAACAGACACCTTCTCTCTGTTGTTTTTAATGTGGGTCATGTTCATGAACTCAACAGCTTCCTTTTCTTTCAAACCTTCAGTTTGTCTCAATTTAAACTCTGACTATATTTGATTTACCAGATTTATGCAGCACCTCTGATTCATGGGGTAAATTAAATGATATGTTTTTTAATTGTTTTAAGAAATGATGCAGCAGATTTCACCACAGCAGCTCTGACAGCAGTCAACCTGCAGACTGCTGCTGTCACCTACTGGACATTTAACCACAAACTCTCTGACAGCCTCATAATAAAATCACTTCAAGCCTCAAAATCTCCCTGTTAACAGTTTGATATTAAAGGTGATTAAATTATATGTTCAATTTATGAAAAAAGAGTGTTTTTATTCTAAAGTTCTACAGTACAAATAAGAAGAAAACAATTTGGACATTTAAAAAAAATGAATTATTAATCTGAAGAGATCTATGAATAAAACACGTAGATTTTTCTGTGAATAATAAATAAAATAGACAAGATAGTGTGGTGCATTTTGGAGTGTGCAGCAATCATCCTTCATCTCTGAAAAAAACAACAACAAAAAACAAATTTCAAGCAAAAAACGTTGAATAGAAACACGAATGATGTCCTTAAAATCAAATGTCCTTTTTTCAAAGTGATCAAACATCAAGTCAACCATGAAATAAACAAATATAAAAACAGGTTTAAAAGTTTAATCCTTGTGTAACCAAGAAGACTCACTCACTGCTGTCAGTTTTTACTGTGTTTTAGTTGTTTGCTCGGCTTTTAGTGGTGCAACATCATCTTTGTATTCTGTTGCAATGGATGTCAGCAGGAGACGGGTCAGAGGAATTATTTACAGTTGTCTCGTGCAGAATGTGATTTAACCTCTTCCTGCAGAAATCCACTCTGTATGGGACTCGTACAATAAAACATCCACATGTCTAACTGAAGCCGGATGTTTCTCCTTTAATTCATATAAAGTGTTTCAAATATTTTAACCCCAATAACTGTTTCGACTGATGGTCGTTCTTATCAGAGGTGTTGCGGAGCTCAGTTTGAGTTTTGGAAATGATTAAAACTGCTGATCCAAACAGCTGAGCACAGCTAGGACCAGATGAATTATTGTTAGAAATCGTTCACATGAAGCAAAAGTCTTTTTCTGGGGAGGCACAGGAAACACACTTGAACTGTCAGACTAACCACACTGAAACAACTGTTTCCACAGTCTGCCTTTGAATTAATAAATAGTTTGTCAGTGATGCTTCAGACAGAAAAATGCAATTTATTTTATAATTATGAATTTAAATGTTATGCTTTGGCAGAACAAGCCTTATCGGCTTCAGTTATTGTTTTTAATGACAATGAACTCATCCATCCATCCATCGGGCTGCAGTTTGTTTAAAGAGCTTTACAGTAAAAGTTATCTTAGACGTATTCAAGAGGGCTGCATTCCATTTCTTTACATGTAGAAATAAAGTGCAAAAGCAGAACTTCTGCTTTTACATGACCTTAGTGCATGCTCAAGGTGGATCTATGTGGATAGATACTCAGAAAGTTCATCGTGAACTTCATTAAATGGTTCAGTTTGAAGGAGTTTACCCCAGCAGTTTTCACAGTTCTGAACTGTAGGTCCACGCTTAATCTAAACAACCGTTTGACAGTTTATACATCAAATCATAGGGCATTTTGTTTGCTGAGATTATAGCAAAATAAGTCCTGAATTACTATTGGGCTTTCAAGAAGAAAGCGATGAATGCTGTGCAATGGCATCCTTCCAGAGGCGGTTCTAGTGGGGGACATGGAGAGGCAGCTGCCACTGGATAAACATATTTTGCTACACTATTTGTAGGCTAGTTAATATATTTTTGTACCTGTCTAGAAGTTCAAAATGGTTTCCCCTGCCAAGAAACATGGAAATGTTACCAGCAGACTGTTTCAAGACCTCCCAGTCGTCGATTGGTTGAGTCTTTATTGAGTCTGTAGGGCAGTTGCTGACAAATCGTCCACATTTAAGTCTTGTTTTGTGTCATTTGTGTATTTTTTTATCCATTGACAAATAACGTGAATGCATGAATTTAAGTAAAAAAGAAATTTTTTTAATCTTCTACCTTTACCACCAATACAAAGATTCGCCACTAATCCCTTCAGCTTTTCTTCAGAAATGGTCTAGTTCTTTTGTTTGAGTGTGAAAACCTCGTGATGGGCTGTTCTGTTCCAATGGAGTTTAACGGAGAGAATAATTGACAAAAATGGGAAGGGTATTATTTACCGGTATATAGCTTGAAAACGCTTGCTGTGGTTTTTAGTAACAAAAAGGACAATCATAAACAAAGAACAGGTTAAAATCAGAAAAAATATATATGTTTTTATATTTTTATACCATGGAGTAAATAGAAAGTGGTAAAAACACTTACCGGTAATCTGATCTTTATTTCCATGACGCCCTCAAATGAAATGAAATGAGTAAAACAGGAAAAAACAAATGAAAACCTCTTCCAAAGTAGAAGATGAAGAGATATTAGAGGTCATGGTGAAATATGTTAAATACATACGTGACCGTGCAGTTTTTGCCACATCATGTTGGAGCAATTGCATTTAAACTTTACTGTATGCCAACATTCATTTGATTAATTTTACGGCTAACAAAGCAAAAATCGCAGAAAACTTGTCAACATCTCACCACATTCACCATCTACCTGTTCAGTCAGGACATTGAGAGAAAACACAACCTGTCATTTCCCCCCACTTCTGTTTGAGATAATATCTGTGGTTTTGCTGCTCACTTGACTGTTTGCTTACAGCGTGAGCCATATTGTCTGCAGACATCCAGCAGAACTTCAGGCAAGCTTGAAACAAAGACCTTTTGAAAACTACATGTTTGTTTTTGTACAGCCTGTAGACATCAATAGGAGCAATGAAGCAACAACTTTTTATCAGTTTCTTGAACTTTTTGAATATTTTGGTGCTGACGAATCAAAAAGGGGAAGAGCAAACGGTATGCATTTCTTTAAATTCTTTCTATTCAAAAATGTATAAAGTACGCAAATGACTCAAAGAGACATGCATGGCTAAAAAATTGTCTTTTTGCACATTTAGACCATAAATGTAATTATAATTATAGTAAAACTGCAAATTATAAGCCATTTAAAAATTTGGGGTTTCGAATGTTCAAAAAGCAGTCACGAAATTAGAGATTATTGCAGAACTCGTGTGTTTTCAGTGTCATGAGCTGTATTGTCTGGTGTAAATGAACAGCGCCATGCTTATGCAACATTTCTTTTGTCTGATGTGAGTTAGTAGGAGTTAAACAGTTAAGCTACAACTAGGCTAACTAATCAGTGACCGCCAAATGTGCAACAACAGTGTTTTTTTTCTTGGATTGTAATTAATAAGGTATAAAATCAAAGTGTGCATACTTTAATTAGACATAACTGCTGCCAATACCTTAAGAAACAATGCACATTCCTTGCGGGTAACGACTTTTAAACCCTTTTGATGATAACAGCACCTGATTTAAGATTACAAAGAAATTGGGGGCAATTTATAGAGCCCAGTATGTATCAGGTTGTATTATATGTTGCTACCAGGTAAGCACAAGTACATGCCTGTTACTTATCTAGTATCAACACCTAACACAGCCTGGTATGTACCAGGTTGTATATTGTTACTAAAAACTTAAGTCTACGTTTGTAAATTCACTGAAACCTCAGGTAGCTCACTTCTTCTCACTGCTGCTAACCAACTGCTATGATTTTGTTTTTATTTAGACTCTGTCCACAAATGAAGATGGGGGGGTTAGTAATACGAACAACACAGATGTTTCCTATGACGATTATGGCTTTGCTCCCTGCCAACTTTCTGTGCCCGGGTTGAATTCCCTCTGCCTGATGGTCGTCTACATCATCGTGTTTGTGTTCAGCATCGTGGGCAACAGTGTGGTCATGTTTGTGGTCTGCACTATGAAGAAAAACAGAACCAGCACAGATATCTACCTGATGCACTTGGCCATGGCAGACTTCCTCTTCTGTCTCACCCTCCCTTTCTACGCTGCAGACAGTCATTTCGGTTGGATCTTCGGCAACTTCTTGTGCAAGCTCCTGTCTGGCTTTCAGGAGGTGTCTGTGTATAGCGGCGTCTTCCTGCTGGCGTGCATCAGTGTGGACCGGTATTTTGCCATTGTCAGAGCCACACGCAGGCTGTTCTCCCATCACATGCTGGTCAAAGTGATTTGCGGTGTGGTGTGGCTTGTGGCTGGGGTTCTGTCTCTACCTGTGGCAATTAAGAAGGAAAAAATCTACGCTGATGATCTGGGCATTGACATTTGCTACGAGAACATAACTGGTGAGAGCAGCGAGCGGTGGCGGATCAGCATACGTGTTCTGCGACACACCGTGGGCTTCTTCCTGCCTCTGGTGGTGATGGCAGTCTGCTACAGCTGGACGGTGGTGACACTGTTCCACACCCGCAATCATCGAAAGTACAAGGTCATGCGGGTGATCCTAACAGTGGTGCTGGCTTTCTTCATCTGCTGGCTGCCTCACAACGTTTCCGTGCTAATCGACACGCTCATGAGAGGCGGGTCACTGCCGGAGGGCTCGTGTGAAACCCGCTACAGCGTAGAGATGATGCTGGAGGTGACCCAAGTCCTGGCCTTCATGCACTGTGGCGTGAATCCAGTGCTGTACGCCTTCATCGGGGAGAAGTTTCGGAACCAACTGCTCTTGGCTCTTTACAAACATGGCCTCATTAGCAAGAGAGTCTGGGTGTCTTGCAGGAAGGGTTCTCTCAACAGTACGGCCAGCGTCAAATCTAGAAACACTTCTGTTTCCATGTAGATGACACCTGATGGCTGCTACTTCTCAGATGCTCATGTTCATTTGACCCTTTAGTTAATCAAATGTCATTTATAATCTCTCCGCCAATAAAGACCATGCCAAGATGATGAGGTAATGTGAAGAAAATCTGACGGGAACTAATCCAGGTAGTAAAAAACATGAACACAACACAGAGCGGGATAAATCTTTTCAGCTCATTGAAGCATTGCTTCCTTTGTCATAAAAAGTTATTTAGGCAAAAGCAGTTGTCTGGTGTATAGCAGAACACAAACATGGAGTAGAAATGGAATTATCAACAGCGTTCAGAAAGATTATAGATCTCCGTTAAAGGCATAGGCTACAAGACTTTCCTATCAGTCTCATATTACTGTGATTACAGTATCCAGTATAATTAAAATGTATAAAACTTGTAAAATTCATGGGACTGTAGCTAACCCTCCAAGACATGGTGGACGCAAGAGGAAATGCAACCCCATGTTAAACAGATGGATAGTGTGGTTGGTAGAAAAGATCAGAGGAAACCATTGACGCTGAACTCCAAGGTCATGGTTTCTGATCACTCCAGTCCTTACACTTTGAATCATATTGAGCTCAGTGGAAGAAGAACCAAAATACTGTAGCTCCGTTACTGGCACAAAAAGCCAGACAGAAATTCACCCAAATACATGTTGGACAAGCCCCCAAATTTCTAGCAGTTTCTAAGACTGATTGGGGGGTGGATCTTTTCAGCTCCATTCACATCAGTTGAGTTTTATTATTAATGTGGAAGGGTACTAACAAAGTTGTCCACATCTGTACGGTACATGTCCAGAGGTTTTTCAGTTCCACGATCCACTAATTTTTATGACAATAACAAGTAAGGATGTGCAGAAAAGGAGCTTATACAAAATATAAAGATGGTTGTTGCAGTAGAGGAGTGCAGAAGATTTTACAAAGCATGGTCTTTATTCCTGAATCTTAGTTTAAAATATTTAAAAAAAAGGACAAATGGCAAATAAAGAAATACACAAAAAGTTCAGCATAATAAAACAGCAAACAGAAGGAAATAAATAACTAAAATTAAAGTTAACACTGTTTCTTTGTGGTTTTACCGTCTTGAGTCATTGTTTTGTTTTAACTCACTTATAACATTTGAACTCATCACGGCAGTTGATACAAAGCTTGAGATGATGTCTAAATGTCGGGTGTAGCGTTCTTTTACATTTTAAGTTCTCTGTGTTTGTTAAAAAAAAAAATAATTGTTTTAATCCAAGACATGATCGCTTTCAACAGTTTTTTTTTTTTTTTGGTGCAAAACATAAAAAATGTGATGCTTTTTGCAAAGCTTGTATCGTGAAAAAATAAATGAATAAAAGGGTTTTGATGCTGAGATGCTAAACTTCCATTTGAACAAAATTATTTATTTTTCCCATAAATGTATTTCTCTTAAAAAATGGTTGTGGTGAACTCTTGTTTCGGTTTTCAACATGACTTATCTTGAACCAGTGACTTGCATCATTTCTCAATAAATTGCAATTATTAGTGCCTTTATATCAAAATTATGTAGGGTCTGTTTTATTTATTCATTATTATTATTTACCAGCAACTTCTATTTTTGCATGAACTTTAAAATATGAACTTGCCATATTATTGTGAGTAGCTGTGTATAAAGATTTAATTAGTAAACATAAGAGATGAAGTGAGAAGAGACTAAATGTGAGTTTTAAAAAAAATGCAGAATCTGTAGTTGCATAACAAAAGAAACCATAAATTAACTTTTTTCCTTTTTGGCAATAAATTCACTTATTACCGGTATTTTGTTATTTATATGGAATTTGTATGGAAATGTAACAGCTAAGACAAGATGTGAATTAATATTTATTAATTCAGTTTTGAATAACATGCAGCTTCAACTCTAATGCAAAGACAAAGGTAAATGCTGAACTACTTTTAATACTTATGTGCAAAACATGTTTTATTTTAGCTCAATAAAATTTAAATCCTCAATACTTTTTTCTCTCTAAAAAGCAGAACAAATACGGTATTTCCAACGTTTCATAAAATGCTGTTTCATCCTCAGCGTTCTTATCAAGTTCCTGGTGTTGTTTTGTGACAGTTTTTTGGAGGGGGTTGGGGGTCGTAACCTTTACAGAGGGTTAAACCCATGCATGCTTTAATTTGAGACACAGTGACCCTGCAGACAGAAGAAGAGTGATCAGAAAATTTAAAAGTTATTTTGCTAAAAGAAGCATTAATCCTAAGTGATTCAGAAGGAATTTAATAAATGATGTCAAAGTATATCAGGTGTAACTATCTCTTGACTGGCTGTTTTCAAATGCATTCTGGGTAAATGGCATCAAGTGGACAAAGGTCATGGAGCGGTCTTCAGAAGATTACCAAATCGACATGAAAAAGTCCTAAAAGCCTGTCCGTTATATAAAAAAGAAGTAAATAGAGGAAGTACAAAATTTAACATTTTTCCACCCTTAATAGTTCATCCATCCATCATCTTTACCCGCTTCTATAACAGGCTGATTTAACCATCGGTCACTCGGCCAAAAGGATGTGACCTCCACAAAGCTCAAACCAGTTTGTACGATTGTGATATGATATAGCGACACGATGGTTAATGGTTAGCACTGTTGCCTCATAGCAAGACGGTCCTGGGCTCAATCACCGGGTTGGACCTGGGGTCTTTCTGTGTGGAGTTTACATGTTCTCCTCGTGTTCGAGTGGGTTTTATTCAGGCAATCCGGTTTTCTACCACAGTTAAAGCATGCATGTTAGACTGCTTTCAGCCCAGGCCTCCATTAAAAAGGACATATGTTAACTCAGTGGGATTTGTACGGAAGCTTCCGTAGATTTGCCTGGTTAATAAATAAATAAAAATATTCTTATTATATCCTGATGCATGCTCAATATTCTTGAGGTATTGGGGTATTCTTATTATAATAGAAAATACACTTTTTGCCGGAAGATAGCACCATTTCCTCCAGATTATTCGCTCTGCAAGGTGTTGCAGGTGATAAACCTCAAACAGTTTTAAAGGAGATAACTGATGCCCCATTCCACTAAGCTCTTAGTAAAATATCTGTGGCGAGCTTTGGTTTGGTTTTAACAAGAAATGCAAGAGTTCTGATTTACACACGTGTTTTAAAGGATGGAATGAACTCTGTTGTAATTGTGAATAAAATAACTAAATAATAGTGTCCATTGCAGTTTAAAGCATTAACGGAGTTACTTTTAACTGCTTGGCCATTTCAAGCAGCGTTTTGATTCCTAATATTTTGAACAATAGGTCAAAAAAGCTTTGTTGTTTTTTTTCTCCAGCTGTTAGTAGAGCGGAGGGCGGAGACGAGCATGCGCACTGGCCTATTGACTGTTACCATAGTAACAGCGTAATTATAGTTCGTCGGCGGAAGCTACCTGAAAGCAAAAACAGCGTTAAAGTGGCCGCAGGAACGTTTTTAAACACGGAACTTGACGGATTTTTTCATGAACACTCAGGTAATACCCTTGTGAAAATATAGATAATATTCTTTATTTGTTCTAGGAGATTTTTACCCTTCGCCGGACTGAACGTTAGCAGAGGTTCTCAAAACATTTTTTTACGCATAATATACGGCACTTTTTCCGCTTTATTTCAAAATAAAACCCGTGTTTCTTAATTCGTAACAATTTTTGTATATTTTTTTATACTTGTTTTTAATATGATTTCGTATTTCAAAATTATTTTAGCATCGAAATAATTAGAAAACTTTAATGATAAAACTAGACTTCAGAAGCCTAAGGAACAGTTTTAACTAAGCTTTAATTTTGAAAGATCCATTCGACCCCCGGAAGTCAGCGTATGAAACGTCAGTAACTTACCATGTTATCATTAGCAGCGTTTCCATCACGAGTTTACTTTATATTGAGGCTTTATCATCATGTCGCCTTATCGGTAATGTGTATAGATGGTATTACGTCAAAACCTTTACAGAAAAGTATTCATGAATAGATAGTTACATCAAGCTAACTGTTATTTGGCTCCATGTTAGCAGCCGTCTGAAGAGTAGTGTTTACCTATGAACACTTGGCACTGACTGCTCCAAAATCTGCAGGATTTGATCAATTAAGGATGTCGAATGATCTGGCTGCTGTGTGGGAGGTGGCACTGAGTGATGGAGTCCACAGAATAGAGTTTGAACATGGGACAACCACTGGCAAAAGGGTCATCTACGTTGATGGAAAGGTAATCACAACCAGGCTTAAAGAGATTAAAATGACTCCTTCCTCTAATCCTGAGGCATGTTCTGATTTCCAGGAGGTGTTGAGGCGAGACTGGATGTTCAAGCTTGTTGGGAAGGAGACATTTAACGTGGGCCAGGCAGACACCAAAGCAACAATAAATATAGATGCAGTCAGTGGTTTTGCCTACGAGTACACCTTGGAGGTGAACGGGAAGAGCCTGAAGCAGTACATGGAGAACAGGTCAAAGGTCACCAGCACCTGGCTGCTCAATTTGGATGGCACTGACTGCAGAATTGTCCTGGGCAAGTCTGTCTATGCACCCCTATTTGTTTTAAATCAACAAAAGTTAAAGGGCTGAACAAATCATTTGTCCATTTGTGTTTTTAAAGAGTAATTATTGATATGACATGTAGCGCTGCGATTCATACTCTTCAGACCTCATAATGTTGCTGTGGCTGAAGCTAAGCTCTAAGCCTTCCTTTGCGAACAGGACAAGTTAATCCCTATTATAACTGCTCTGCTGGTACGCTGCTTAAAGCAATCACGATATAAAATAGCTACAGTATCCGGTGTAATAATACATACAAATCTTAATTTTGCTTTGAATTGGAAGAAATAAAAATGGTCTATTCATGGCAATATAGTCACAGATAAAACTATTTTGTGGTTTTAGGGGTGTGAACAGTTTTGTTAAAAGTAATACAGGCACATCTAGTCCAACTACCAACCAAAGTGCTTTTTTCTAAAGTCCTTAAAAATATATTTTCTTTGTGCTTTGGTCCACTTTTACATACATTACACACTTTATTTTTTTGCTGCAGGATAGAAAACGTAATATGTTTAATTAAATAACTGAAAAACTTAAATATTTTTGTGTTACTGGCTGACTTAGATTTTTACTATTTATTTTTTTTAGGAATATATATATATATATATATATAAACATTTTTGTGCCCTTCTGTATTTGTTTGATAAATTCATCTCGTCATGTCTTTCAGAAAAAGACACGATGGATATTTGGTGTAATGGAGAAAAGATTGAGACCGCTGTAAGTAAACTAACCTCCCAACATGCAAAGAAATCAAAAGCTGCAGTTTCTAAACCAAATTACTAAAACACAAAAACTAAAAGAAGCAGAAATCGCTTAATAGAACATTTCATTTTATATTTCTACTTTTTCTATTTCTGTCTGCAGGGAGAATTCGTGGACGATGGCACGGAGACACATTTCACACTGGGAGACCACAACTGCTGCGTGAAAGCTGTGAGCAGCGGGAAGAGACGAGACGGGATCATTCACACTCTGCTCGTGGACGGCACAGAGGTAGCTGAATGCACTGAGTGACTGTCAGCGAGAGGGAGCAAGCAGCAGAGATTTCATTTAAAATCGCCAGTTAGACCAACGGAGAAACACGTTCTCATGGGTCCAAAGCGCAGGATAAATTAGCCATACGTGCGGTGTTGTATTGAATAAAGCGACACCAGTAGAAAAAAGACAGATCCTGCAGTCTGTGCAGTTGTAGACGAGATGGTGCAGCTATAAATGTTAAAAAGGTTTACTGTCTTAAAGACGTTACACTGTAAAATGTTTGGTCTGTTTATAGTATTTTAGAATTCCTCATTCTTAATGTGAACTTTACCTCAACTAGAGTTTGTCTTCATGATAAAAAAACAACCTTTAGAAAACACGTTCCAGTGAACCAAGACTCTCGCTGCTTTTCATCCTCCGCTGTTTAAATGTGGATGTTAAAACATCTGCACACACAGCTGCTTGAATGTTACATCAAGGCAGTGTGCTGTTCGTTGTCTTGTTTAAATCTGTTAACGTTCAAGGAAATTAGCTGCTGTAGGAAAATAAAGTGCTATTTATTGGCCGTTTTAGAGACAATCATGCAGATGTGTCAGTGGTATTGATCAATCACGTGCACATCTGCTTCACATCACTTTTATTATATTCATCAAACAAAATGTGGAGACTTCCTATTGTCTTTAGAGGTGTATTGAATATAAAGACCTCACTTTTGTTATTTAGAATTTAACCTGAACATTTTACGTGAATCGGAGCTGAAACTTTTTCATTTCTATCAGAAACTTTAAACTCTGTTAAACTTCTGATAAAATGGTATAACCATTTTTACGGTTTCAACATGTAACTCTTGGTTCATTGAGTTGTCCCGATGACGATAGAACTGAAGCCTCCAGTAAAGTTTTACAGCTGAAAGCCTCTGAGGTCAGAGATGTTGAACTTTAAAGCGGACTGTGATTTGTAACTGTTGTGTTGAGTTGTTTTATATGTACTGTACAATAGCGTCACACTTGTACATATGATTAAAATGTAAATTAATTTGAATAAATCTGTGAAACAGATACAATTGCCGCCGTTTGTTCAAACATAGTTAAAGATGAAAAACTGACCACACAGCCGCGTTGCTCGTTTGAAATTTAATGAAGTGATTTTATTCATAACTGATTAACATCTGAGCCTTCAAGTACATTTTTGTTTAGACTGCAAGTGCAAAATTAGACTAACAATCCCCAAAATGTACACTTCTATTTGAGCTATCCACTTATATGAACAATCACCGTTAAACAAAAAACAAATAGAAAAAGTTACAGCATTTTACAATCAAATTTGATGTAGTAACTTTAGCCTTTATGAAAACGTGGTGTCATAAATCACACAGACTAAGAATCATGACCCGAGATGACATTCCTGAATCAACATGTATTTAAAGTTGATCTTTTCTTACTTACAGATGATTGTGTTGCTTGTGCTGCTGTGTAGCATTTTGATCCATAGAAAACAAGTGAATAATCTTAACAAATATTAATAAAAAAAAACTTCAGAAACTCCCAACAAAATTCTGTTTATAAAGCTTATAGCAGGCAATTTTTAACAGCAACAAAAAGAAGCCCAACGTTGAACATACAAGCAATAAAACAACGATTTCTAAAACAGAACACACCCATTAAAACGTTATTAGTCCACTTCTACTCCGTAAAATGTTATAATTGTTTAGGCACTTTTCATCAGTGTTAAACTGTAACTATACACATTGATACGAGAGGAGGAATGCAGTTTATTTTTGGATGTTCCCATTTCTAGCACAAGTGCAAACTTTGATCTGACCTAAAACCTAATTTGTGACATGAAAAACCAATGTGCATTAAAAAAATAAAAAAAAATTATGCCAAATTAGAATAAGGAAATACTTGTAAACCCAGACATTTTAAAAAAAAAAGATGCTATTTTAGGACTGAAGTTGTCATTTACCTGAAAGTTGTATTAGACAAATGTTTATTTTATTTTTTTAGATCAGATTGTTTTTCATGTTCCTTCGTGCTGAAACATAAAGTTCTATATTATCTTATGGATCATGCCACCAAATCAAGTTTGTTTTAGAAGACTCAAAGAATTTAAGTGTTACACTAAAGTTGTCTTCTTACAGATAAAAATGTACTTGGGTACAGCCTGATAACCACTAAAAATAACAGAGACATCAGGTCCTCCATCCACACTATCATAGGTATCATTGGGATCCTGTCCAGTGGGAGGAGGCAGGATGAGTCCTGGTTGCCCCAAAACTGATTTTCCTGTCAGCACCTCTGCCTCCACAAAGTACAGGAACTCTTCGTGGTTCTCCTTCCAAAGCTCCAAGGCCTTCTTTACTGTGCCAGCAAAATAGATGCCCTGTCCATACTTTGGATCTGTAACCGGAAGAAGATATGCAAGTATTCAATAATAATATTCATCCACACGACAGTAACATCTCTCCTCCTCCAAAAAAAAAAGATCGATCTAATGTCAATAGGTATTCACATCTGAGAGAACCAAATAACAAATGGAGCTCCACAGGGTTCTAATCTGGGGCACAACTACATGCTCCCACTTAACGTGGAAGTGCCAAACTTTTTTTTTTTTTTAATTATCGGTGATGTGGTTGTGAGACAAAAACGGCATCATTTTGTTCTTGCTCACCTCCAAAGAACTGGTTCTGTACATAAACCTTGGAAGAACTTTGCGCTACGTACTGGTCAGAACTTCATAAATGGGTTCAAGTGGAAATCTGGCATCAGTACACGCTGGCCATGGTTGTTAGAAAATACAGCCATCGTTGCAACTGTTCCAGAAAAATTTACAACAGGTAGTCGAATAAATTCTATAAAGATCGTCAAAGAACTTATAAATGGAGATCGCACCATTTTGTGCACCGAGAAGCATGGATGGATGCACGGGCAGCTCTTCGTGGCTGTGCGCCTCGGCCGGGCAGCGTGCGGACATGTTACTGCGCCGTCTGTCGGAAACGGTGACGTCTTCTTTCGTCTTGACTTCTTCTTCTTCTTCTTAGTTGAAACGTTTTGTCTTGAAAGACTTGTTTTTGCAACATAGTGTTTTCCACGGTTAACGGCAGATACACCAGATTCTCCTCCTCCTGCACCTCAGTCATCAACTAAACATCCATTTTGCAACAGCTACAGTTTCTCTGAGTATAAAATGTCCATGTGAAAAGAACGTCTCACCGCCACATCAGCAAGAACAAATCTCTTGTGTGTCATGAAGTATGTAAGTAAAAAGAATAAAGCAGTCCGGTGGACAACGCAGATTTAAATTTAACCAGAGTTCCTTTACAAGCGTTCATTAAGAGCCCCAAGAACAAATGAAGATGTTGGATAATTTCCTTCAGCAAAAAAAATAAATAAAAACAGAACGGAGGTTGTTTTTGGAGTAAAGGAAGAGCAAAGTTTTGTCTGCACGAAGAACCACAAAGCAAGACCGAGACAGATGCAACGAATCAGGGCGCTGCAGCCGAAATCCTCACGAGGTCCCGAGGTTGAAACGCTGTCGCTGATATAAAGTTTTGTCCAAGAGCCAAAAAAAAGATGTTGGACTTGCTGGTTTGACAGGTTTCCTTTGTCTCTCCAGTTAAAACGAAAGACGAACAAACTCATTTGCATTTCTGTGAACCGTATCTATAAAACAAACAGTCACTTTAAAGGATTAACATTCCCTGCATTCTAAAATCCTGTGCTTTCTTATGTTTACTACATTTTGTATTTTATACATAGCACTTCTACTTCCTGTTCCAACTTTACTGTAAACATAAGTTTTCTTTGCCCTTCTGGTGCTGACGCAGCCGTCGGACTGTGACTCTGCATTCGAAGGCGTTCAAAAGAAGCTACGATCTTAGCGGGAGCGTTCTCGTACCTTCGGGAGGTGCGCACTGCGCGTGGAATCCAACATGGCTGACCATGTCACAGAACTGCGCGGGTATGCGTTGAAACATTCTCTGAGAAGTGGAGCAGCCGAGTTGTTGTTTTTTCATGTCGAACAGAACCTGCAGTGAAGGATTGCTCACTCTGTCCACCTAGAAGATGACATCACAGGTTAATCAGCAGACCTGGATTAGGATTACTGAAGCAAACTGTTCAAAAACAATTTGTACAAATCACGGTTTATCGTTTGATCGAAGCAGTGCATCTACTTTTAAACGGCGTGGTTTTAGTTTACCTCTTCTACCCACAGTCCCTGATGTTTGAAGGCCCGTTTTCGTTCTGTAAACTTTGGGTCGAACAGGTCAACGGGCTGTCTTTCAGAAGACACTTCCACGTCTGACAGTTGCTTCAACAGATGTTTTTCCTCTAGAACGAACTCTTTTTGGACTTTGCAGAGCATTTCCTCCACCTTCAACGCAGCAACAACAGCATCTTCCTTTGATTTACCGCCTAGTGTTAAACAGGCGTGACCTTGGGCGACGAACTCCTCGACGTCCACCCCTTTTTGATGGAAGGGGGACAGCGTCAGGTGGTCTTGCTCGGTGAAGTGCAGGAGGAAGTTGTTGACGATTTGGATCGGGAGACGGGGCTCGTTAAGAAGGACGCTGAGCCACTTGTCAGCCTCACGTGTCGATGCTTCAGACGGGCCACGCAGGCTGATCTGTGGCTTCGACGTTCTGTTCACAGGAGCCTCGACAGCTGCTGGTAAACGAGAGCAGTTTACCGATTGTTTCATCGCAAGGAAATTACAATTGTTCAAAAAAAGAACTTTTATGGGCTCGTGTTACTGCTATTTGTCTTTTTTCATAGGGATCGACGTGTATTTTCTTGTTTCAGCTCCAACTAACTGCTGTGTCTCAATAATGTGTTAAAAAAAGGTTTGAATGCTCAGATAAACTAAGGCAGATACGTTCTCCCACATTTTCTGTATTCTCTCGTGTGTGAGGATTTTACACTTATTTCATGGTTGTTGAAATATTTTGTCGTTACCAGGTGCAGAGTTATGACGAGATGTTTGCTGCCAAGATCCCATTTGACCTCCAGCAGCCTGGAAATCATTAGCAGGTGTGAAGTTGGGGTGCTGGTAAAACGCCATTTGACTTTGAAAAGCCTGGAAATAAAGAAAATTTATGCATTTATTACTAAACATTAAACGATAAACCAATATATGATTTAAAGCATTTATTAATCAGGATAAAATGTCAAATTTATCTGGACCGTGCTGTGAAAAAGTTTGTAACCGCTCTTATTTTGAAAGAGCCAGACTTTCTTTTAATTATTTTAAAGTGATCTTCATCAGAAGGCTTTCTGAGCAGCTTAAGTTTTTAAAGCCTAAAACATATCTACGCCGATAAGCAATATCTGAAAATCACATCTAAATAATGTGTAAAAATACAGATTTTTTTTCCCCCCCATCCAAGTTGTTTGTGCCAGCACACTGATTTAAGTGTTTTTACACCTGAATAATTCATAAATCAAAAGGTAAATGTCCTAAACACAAACTTTTGTAATGATCAGTCACTGGACTGGAAATGAGTGAAAAACCAGCAAAAACCGTGAGAAGCCTGAGGATTGTTTTTTTTTTTAATTTTTACAAAAACGTCTGGCTTTTTGAAAGCTAAGGACAACCCAAGACTTTTGCACAATACTAAAGGTGTTGGGAAATGCTCCACCACACTTAGCGCACATCTATTTTTCCAAATAAGTTCCTGTTATTAATAAAACGTTAAATGTTATAAAAATGGTTTTAACATGAAATTATGACCGAAATGATGAAATCCATTCCAGTAAAACACCTGAAACGTTTCGTGGTCAGACGGAAATATGACGAAGAAAACTTCCAGCTCCTGTGGATACTTTTGAGTAAAATCAGCCACAGCGTTCAACATGATACCAGCTGATTCTGTTTTACTGAAGCCCAGCGCGCCGGTGCCGATAGCAGGGAAGGAAATGGATTTGTGATTCCTCGCTGCTGCTGACCATAAGCATTCCAGCACAGAGTTGAAAAGCACCTGTAATAAATAAATGATGACAAATGAGAAAATAATGTCGTTTTAAAATGAATTATATCAGTGCCTCGTAAAAAAACAAGTACCGAAGGTGCAGCTGGATCGGCCCACTTATCCGTACAAAAAGTGTGAAACACCTCTTTGCATCGTAGCTTGTATGGTTTGGTGCAGATTATACGCTGGTAGCTATCCTTCTTCTTTGCGTTTCTGACTTCATCCTGCATTTTATGCCCTGCTTTGTGCAGTATAGCGGTGGAAATTTGGCCAACGTTCAGGTCTCCGTGTGACGAAGCCGTGTTTACAATGACGTCCGTCTGAAAGAGCACAAAACAAGGACAATAAGAAACGGATCTGACGCTACGTCTAACCGTCTATAGTGAATAACAACTCTTACGTTTTGTTCTTCGATTCTATCTGTCTTCAGAGTCAGAAGAACGCTTCCAAACTGCATTCGGACAGGTGAAGGAGGGTTGGAGGCTGCCCAGGTGTAGCCCGACGCTGCCTGGCTGTACGTCTTGCTCCGGTGAGGGGAGAGTATCTGATGGCACGCCTGCACCATTTCCCTGACCGTAGGCTCATCATTGTTCACAAACAAAACCTCTCTAGGAAGATTTCTTTGAGGGGAATTGTTTTCATAGATGTGTTTCACCGTCGACACAATGGTGTCTGCACAGTCTGGCATGGGGTAGTGGAACAATCCAGAGCTTATTGCAGGAATGGCAACATTTGCCGCCTTATAGGCTTCTGCTGAATCGAAAATGCTATAGATGGCTTTCGCCAACAGTGGTCTTGCTCTTTGTACGTCATTGGGATGAGGATGCATTGGTAGATCTGGACCCACAGCGTGAATTATAAACTTACATTGTAGATTCCCTGCACCGGAGACAACTGCATCTCCTGTGTTCAACAAGCCAGACTTTCTGATAAAGTCATCGCATTCTCGTTGGATCTGCGGACCGCCAGCAGCAGACAGGGCCTGAGCGAGGCCTCCATGGTGCTGGAGACGTTCATTAGCAGCATTCACAACAGCGTCTGCTTGGAAATTAGTAAGATCACCCTTCCACACAGATACCTTAACTCCTCCATGCAGCGTGAATTCACATCTTTTCTCTGGGTTAATGGGTGGTTTTCTCCACGGAGCAGAGCTGGCACCAGTCTCGAAATCCACACCATCGAAGGTGGCCACACATCCAAATTTGATGTTAATGATGTCACTCAGAGCGCCGCCACATTGTTTCACGATGTTAACTGAAGATCCAGAAAGTGGGAAGTCCAGTTTACTCATCATCGTTGCCTTAAAAAAATTTAAAAAAAAACCTGTGGAGAAAATAAATCAAACTTCACGAGTCCAAACTGAGAGTTAAACAAACGCAGCAGAAGGAAGCATTTATTTACAGTTTGCTTCAGAAAAGCTACGTTTTCATCATCTGTTAAAGTGACATCGATCTTTTTGACAATATTTTAAAGCATAGCAGTACATAATAAAATCCATTTTTCATTGTATTTTTTACTTTTGATTTGTTACTAGCTGGTTACTGTGGGAGTTCCTGTTCCATGTCTGTCTTTGGTCACCAGAGGGCGCCATACTACCACACCTGCAAGCAATGTGTCCTGATGAGGCTCCTATACATGACACCTTCCGACGCTGGAGCATTACCCTACCAATGATTCATGCTTTTAGCCTTTTGCAACTCTAGTCTTGTGAAAACTTACCCTTTGCCTTGTGATCTCTCCAGTGTGCCTCCTGGGACCTACCTGATTACTGGACCTTGTAGTGAAACTCTGGAAACCCACATGTGCGCTCTTCAGCGGTTCTCCTCGCCCTCTAACCACACGCACCTTCTGCGTCTACTGGACCATATCATGTTTGTACAGAACTGTTCGTACCAGACGACCTGCCATTCCATCCTCTAGGTTCCTGTTTCTTTCCTCGCATTTACAAATATCAAATATATCAAAATCGGAGCATCAGAAAAGTGTATTTTTAATATGAAGTGCATCAAGAAGGTGATTTAACAACCAATCATCAACTAAAGGTTTCATTTAGGTCCTGTCACTGCTCTTTTTTGCTGAATTTGCCCCCTTGATTAAAATAACCACAACTTTTAAATTGTTTATTTGCTGTAGTTTAGCTTTTTTTTCTGACTGGGCCTGAGTTTTTTTTTATCCTAACTTTTCAGAACTCCCCAGGGTTTTTACCAACACACTGGTGACATTTTACAGACCAAGATCAAGGTGTTTTATGGGTAAAAACAATTTGAGAATCACTGAGCTGGTGCAAAAAACTATCTCGTTCTCTGCCAGGCTATTGATTTTTGTTTCTTTTATAATATATGGGCACAAATTGTATTTGACCAAAAGTTGTTTTATAATAGTTTTTTTTTTTTTTTGCTCTATTGTGAGATGAGGACAGACTCAACCCTGCTTTACTGATAGACTTTAGCACTTTCAAAGCTGCTGAATGGTTCAGAAGTCCTTGTCAAGTGGCTTAACAACAAAAAATCATAAACTGGGCATGTGCAAAGACTGAACTGCGAATAAGTAAAGTCAATCAGTGTCCAAATAAATATTCAGACAAACCTTGAAGACCTAGAACACCTAGCTCAGTGGGTCATTTTCAACACTTAACATAAAAATAATCTCGTTAGTGTTACAGTATTAGTCAGTTTTGGGTACATTTATGCTTCTGGGCTGAGGTGCAGTTGCACAGTGTCGCCACTAGAGGGCGACAGAAACACAGTTACCCACTCACCTACATAAACAAGCCTGGAATAATTGCTTTAAGATAAAACGCAGTACTTGGTTTTCTTGCTGACTTTATTAAAAACAAGTTATAATTTTAATTCCTGCATTCATATAAAAAAAACAATTAGATCAAAAACGAGTTTCACGCGCTCCGAGCGACAACACGTTAAGTATCGCTTTTGATACCCCCACCTTTTCTTAAAGAAACCTTGGCTTTACGTCATTTTGCAGGTAGTAATCAAGCCATGATTTTTTTTAAAAAAAAGCATGATTTATAAGTTTAAAAACTTGCATAAACAAAGCACTCACCTTTCCTTTCGTCTGGAAAGTCCCGAGTGAAAAATCGAAAGTAAAAAAAAAAAAAAAAGCTCTGCTTCAAGTTAATGTTTCTTTAAAACGCTCCTCCCCGAGAGCCCAACACAACGCTAAGCCTCAGCTCACGAAGCTTTCATTTCCTAAGAATCAAAAGTGAAAGTTTGAGCTGCAGAGGAGCGGTGCGCAGCCAACATGGCGGACGCGTTCCCCGTGTTAGTGGAGCTGGAAGAAGCGGACACTCAGAGGTTAAAAAACAAGTTGATAAAGTACTTTCAGAGTAAAAAGTCCCACGGAGGAGACTGTGAGGTGGACTATGAGAGCGGCTGCAGGAGCGCAGTGGTGCGTTTCCACAGGGAGGAGGGTGAGTTTGAATCATAAGAGTTATTATACATCCCCTCTTTGTTTTTTAATTGACTTTTTTAATTGGCTTGTTTTCTGTCAGACCAGAGACGCGTCCTGCAGAAAGAGTCGCACCAGATCTCTTTGGATAATGGGGTGTTGAAAATGACTGTTCGCCCCCCCTCACAGGAGAAAACAACACAGGTAAACAAAAACACATGCATAAAGTCAACAATAAACTGTCTTTTACTTCTTTGAAGATGAACCCGTTTCTTTCTACAACAAAATGTAGATAAAACACCTAAACTTTATTATCCTTTAAAAAAAAAAAAAAAAAAAGAGATCAAAGGTTAAATAAAAGCTTATACTGGAAGTCATGAAGTGTTTTTCTACCTCTTGTTTCCTGTTGTGCGTTTATAGCTGTAACCAGGGGCGTGTGAAGGAAGGGCAGGGCCGCGGGGCCACAGCTACTTTTGGGGCCCTATTAAAAGTTTTAAAATTTGTATAAATTCAGGGGTGCCATTAAGGGGGGCTACTAAGGTGGCCCCTCCCGTTGAGCCCCAAACCTTTGCTTGATGTGCACTTTTCAAATCTCCTAGCTAACTATGAATATAAGAATGTTGTATACATAAAAACAAATGTTGTTTTTGAGCATTGAGGGGTTAAAATATAAATATTTATTTGGAATTAAAAATCACTTTTACTTTAGTCAAATCCTTCTGAATGAGGACATTTGGTGTTTAAGCAAATAAATTGATAAATCTTGATGATTTTGTGGATGAATTGATTAATAAAAACATGGGAACAAATCAACAAAGTCCATGCTCAATAATCCAGGTATACAGTCCAACAATTTTCAGTCAGGTCAGTTTTGTGTTGTGTGTTTCCGTGACTGATGAAGCCTTCTGGATGGAAGGTGAAACGTTTCAGCACGAAAAATGGGAAAAAATTGTTTATTGACACTGGACTGAAAAAAGCAAATAAAGCGATAGTTTGGTGTAATCCAACAATATTCAGTCAGGTCCTCTGGATGGTCTCTTTTTTTT